AGTGTCGTAACAAGGCACTGACAATCTTGATATTTTTTTGAGAAGATTCCTGGGTGGTGCCAAATGTTTTACACTCGAAAGTTAACGTAAAAGATTGTTCACCCAGCAATGATGCTGAGTCCTGGTGTGATACTGTAGGATAAGCACTGGACTGCTAAGCACAGGTTGGCAGTTCAAACCACCAGCCGCTCCTTGAAAACACTATACAGGGCCACTGTGAGTCAGCATCAACTCAACCACACTTAACAACCACAACAAAGCGGCAACACAGGAAAAAAAATGTCTAACAATCTACTTCTATAAAGATTACCAGAAACACCAAACCCACTGACACCGACGGGATTCTGGCTCTTACCAATTCTGTATAGGGTTTCCAAAGGAGCTCTGGCAGCGGAGTGTTTATGAGTCAGGCTGCTAACCTCGAGGTCAGCAGTTCAAAACAACCAGCCGCTCTGTGGGAGAAAGATGAGGCTTTCTGCTCCCATAAAGATTTACAGCCTCGGAAACCCGCTACAGGGCCACTATGAGTCGGAACCGACTCCATGGCACACCACCACCACCATAAGGTTTCTGAGGCTAAAAATCTTTACAGGAACAGAAAGCTTCATCTTTTTCCCGAGTGTTGGGTTTGAATTACTGACTATGCGGTTAGCAGTCCAGTGCTTATCCTATATCAGTAAAGACTGTTGTTATTACGTAAAGATTGTTGTTAACTAAGTGCCATGGAGTCAGTTCCTACTCATAGCCGCCCTATATAGGGTTTCCAAAAAGTGGCTGGTGGATTTGAACTGGCGACCTTACAACTAGCAGTCTAGTGCTTTTTCTGCAGCGTATCCCAGGACTCTATAAAAATTAAAGTCAAGACGATCCTGGGGAAAAAAATCTATTTAATAATAGAATAAACAGTATCATATAATGAGAGTACTGAACTAAATTTCAAAATATGATCACAATTTGGAAACGATACATGCAAGTAATTTTGGAAAACCATAACATCCCTGGGCCTCACTTCACTTTCAGTCACGTGTTTCCTTAACTTCACATCTCTTTAACTTCATTGTCACTGTCCTGTATTTGTAATTAGAGGTCTGGTGTGGTGCTGTGGGTTAATGCTCTGGACTGAAAAGTCAGTCTGAACCACAAGCTCACCAGATGCTCCTTGGAAACCCTATACAGGGTCGCTGTGGGTCAGAACAGACTTGATAGCGCTAAACAGCAAAAACAGTTACAATATATTTGTCATTGGAGTCTTGGTGTGATGCTGTGGGTTAATGATCGGGACTTCAAAGTCAATTTGAGCTTCAAGAATAGCAGTTCAAGTTCACCAGCTACTTCCCGGAAACCCTATAAAAGGTCACTGTGAGTTGAAACCGACTCAAAGGCAATCAACAGCTACATATTTGTAATTGGAATCCTAGTGTGGCGATGTAGGATAAGCACTAGACTGCTAGCTACGAGGTCGGTAGTTCAAACTACAAGCCTTTCTTCAGAAAGCCATACAGGGTATCTATGAGTCGAAACTAACTTACCAGCAATTAACAACAGTAATACCATATTTGTAATTGCCAAATAAAATATTATTATTTGAAAAAAAAGAAGATCCTGGGGAGCAGTTCTACTCTGCAACATATGGGGGCGCCATGAGTTGGCATCTACTCAACACCCTTGGGTTTGGGTTTGGAATGTGGCACCGTAGAATAAGAGTTTCCCTTATTGCCAACATTAGAATCAGTCTAATACAGGTAAGACTCTGATTGCGTTCTGAATCAGAATCTGCTTCTTAATACGCTTCCCAGGTGTTTCTTATTCTTATTTGCAATCAGCTCCCTAGATACTACCCTGAAGTGTGAGAGGAACGTGTGTGAGTTTCATTTCAATAACTGAAAACCCGCTTTCTTGTGATTTTATATAAGACTCATCAGTAGTGGTTATGAATCGGGCTGTGAACCGCAAGGTCAGCAGTTCGAAACTACCAGCTGTTCCACTGGAGAAAGATGAGGCTTTCTGCTCCCATAAAGATTTACAGCCTCGGAAACCCTATACAGGGTTGGTAAGAGTCAGTTCCGACTCCAGGGCACATAACCACCATCAGTAAGCACTGGGATGGAGGAGTCGTTCTTAGGATTCCTCTGTGAGTCCTCTCTCCTGTGTGTACCCGCCCACCTCTGCCGCTTCTGTGCTCTTCCCCCGTGGGTCTTCTCCAGCCAAGCTCTTCTCAAAACTGCCTCTCCCAGTCAGCTTGCTCTTCAGTAGTTAAGGCGCAGCTGTCTGGGTTTTGGGGTGATTTTGCCTGCAGCTTTCATAATTTGAAGGATTTCATAATTCACTGGTTGGCCAATGTCACCCTGAAGTATGAGGTTTTTAAATATTAAACTTGAAAATATATCCGTGAATCCTGTGCCATGCCAGAACTGATTAAAAGTGGGGAAGCCAGAGAATAAAGTAACACAGAAGTGATACTTGTCATTTTCGTCAGATTAGATTTCCCCTGTGTCTCGATGGTGTGTCTGTCACTCTGGGACCATCACTTATAGGGCAGGCTGAGTGAAGGTCATTTTGGTTCTTATTGATTCCATGGCTCTGGCGCTCCTCATAGGGATTTACAGTATTTAACCCACCAGGAGAAGCCCTGAACTGTAAATGCCTTTCCTTTGCCAGGAGGGCCTGCAGGTCTCTAAGTGACCCTGGCTATGCAGACTTCTTCACAACTGTCTAATGAAAACCTGCCACCTCCACACAAAGGAACGGACACGGCATCTCATTTCATGGCACTGATCCCTCTTTGGCTCCCAATCAGCACAAGGGTGTTTAGCTCACTCAGAAGGGTAATCCAGAAACAGAGAGATGATGAGAAGCCAAGTTAGTAGACTCCTGCTGTTCATGTTATCTGTCAGCATCCTCCCTGACCAAAACTAGCAGTGAGAAAATTAAAGTTGAAGAGCATGAAATAGGGAAAATAGAAAATTAAGGATGGGATTTGATGATTTGTGATGTGTTCTCACATAGGTTATGAGGGGCCTGTGTGGCAATAGGCTTGGAATCTATTTGCTGAAGAATGAACTTCGGGAGTTTGTTTTGAAATAAAGCATTATTTGTATTTCCCTGAAAGCTTGTCATGTTCAGAATAGAGTGAAGGACATTTTAAGTGTGTGACTAGTGTTTATTGATGGTATTCTATAACCATCCATGAAGCCATACTTATTGGAATGGATGTTGAGGCAAGAGCAAAGATCAAAAGTATTGAGCATGTCTTTATTTAACATTTTTTATATTTATTTTATTCATCACAGAATGTTCGCTTTCATTTTAATTTTTTTAAAGTATTGGATTGAAACATGTTTTACCTTGATAGCCAAAGCTTTTGAAACATTATTACATCTTGCACCCCAAGCAAGTACATCACTCCATAGGCCAAGGCCTGTGCCAGTCTTTAGTAAGTGAAAAAATGTTTTGCTCAGAGGAAAATGTGACCATTCAGGTCTCGTTTGCAATGAGTTTCGAAGGAAAGATCCCTCAGAATGAGGAAAGCAAGGTCACATATGAGCCCGAAATAAAAAAGCATCTCTATGAAGCAGTCTTGGCTGCCGCTGCTGCTGTCGTTAACTGCCAGTAAGTCAGTCCCAACTCATGACGGCTCTGTATGGCGTTTCCGAGGAGCTGCGAGTCGGTTCCATCAGCTGACCTTGCAGTTAGCAGCCCACAGTTTATACAGCACCACACCAGAACTCCAGCCTTGGCTAGGGAAATGATTTTCAACTCCCAGACTTTCCTTTCTCTGGAATGTTTGAAAGCAGTTATTAAGGCTACAGTGAACAAAATCTGTTCACCCTAAAATGTCATAGCTCTGATCATAATGCTCTTTGTGAGTGCTCACTGTCCTCAAATGAGTCAAGTCAGTGACTGCAGAGATGGTCAGCAGTGAGAAAGATCCTCTCCCAGGGATAGCTCCATTCCTACCAACTGTTATTTGTTGACTTACAGCGATTCCGTGTAGGGTTTCCAGCACAGCTGGTGGGTTTGAACTGCTGACCTTGCAGCTCAAACTGACCTTGCAGTCCAGTGCATTATCCTGCAGCACCCTGTTTTTAGCATTTGGTCATTTATACTGTTGAAGACATTTGTTTAAACCCTTTCTTTGTTTATACACTCTGTCTCTGTTCTGCAACTCCATAAAGAGAAGGATTAGGATCTTAAAAAACAATAACAAAAACCTAGATATTGAAAACGCATGAAACATAGTCAATATGTTCTGAATGAATCCATGAATTAACTGTACATTTCTCTCTTCTGGTGCTTTCATGTTTCTCTTTTCGTGATTTAAATCTGCTCCCACTTTATTCTTCACTCTAAGAACGTTCCAAGGCATTTCCTTTTTTGGAAAACTGTAGGCTCCGAGCAGCCACAGGACAGGAATATGATATGAAAATATTCTTAAAGTTAACAAAAGTACTATAGAATTTACATACATAAAGAAAATAAATTCATTGGTCTATGTTTATAGAATCTCCGATGTTTGAAGTAGATAATAAAATTCACCGTTTCTCAATATAGAACTTGCTAGTGAAAACGCTTAGTAAAATTATTCCAAGTCTGTCAGAATATGATTTTTGAGAAGGAACCTTCAGATCACTCTTTCCCATCTTTCTTCCCCTTGACACTTCCTGCAGGTGAGAGTGATCACAATGAAACCACTGAAAGCCCCTCTAGTTTTCAAATATAACAATGTTTCACCATTACATCCTGCTGGTCTAGGAGTCCTTTCCTAATATGATCTAATACAAGGCCCAGCTTCCTACTTTAACAAAAGTGAAATTTGAAACACAATTTAACAAAAACAAACAACAGTATATTTGTAGGAGGGGGGATAAAAATCATACTTGCTTTGCAGAAGAATTAAATTTAAATAGCAAATGCCCATTGAGTGCTTAAAACATGTTTCAGTTTACCAAAAGGTTATTGGTACATAGCAGAGATCATCCTGTTTGTCCACTTTTATTTAGGGCTCCTCAGTTTCTGTGTTTCAGTGGAACCTGGCCATTGTAAAATGGCCATGCTTCTTTAAAAAGGAAATAGTACCATCAGTGTGCTTGATGAAAGACACACATGTCTAATTAGGGTTGCTATGGGTTTAGACTGACCCAGCAAGAGGTGGTTTAGACTGACTGGAAGCAAGAGGTGCTCGGCAACAGTCTTGAGAATCAGCCTGTCACTTGGTTCCTGATTGCCTATGACGGGCTATCAGTATTGCTGAAGGGCACTGATTAACTTGCAAACTGTTGATGATGTGACACTAGGACTTAATCTCATCACATGTTGAATATTGCACCATGTATGGTGTCCTGGTATGGCTCTGTAGGAGAAGCACTCAACCAAAAGTTCGGTTTGTATAGCAAGGTCAGTAGTTCAAACTCACCAGTCACTCCTCAGAAACCAACTCAATAGCGGTAAACAACAACAACAAGGTTCCTCTGATAAAAAGAAACAGGTGTTTAATTCTGACTCCTTTATGGAGTAAAAGAATTTAACTTTATCCAAAGAATTTGGTCTTTGTCCTTGGCTCCTGAGAGAGAACCTCTCCCCAGGAACTGAAATATCCTGGATGAGACCTCCGGACACAACACCTCAGGATTTATGCAAATGATGACTCAGCTGAGGATTGGCCAGACTAAAAGACCACTCTGTATGATCATTCCTGCCTCACACTGATTTTATCAATCATTCCTACTTAAGGAGACCTCCCAGAAGCCTTTGAACACCAAAGCTGATGGACTTCCTGGTTGGTGAAAGATAACACTATACATCAAAGGGTAACAGGACTTTTTAAGGACCTGCAGGCCTTACTTTGGGAACTTTCTCAGATTTCACCCTGTGCATTCTGTATTTGTGCCCCTTCAAGAGAGAAGTGACCCAACAGAATCTGGAAATCATTGGACAATATCATTAATATTGCATGCAAGTACAATTTTGCTAAAGATCATTCAAAAACAGCTGCAACAGTACATGACAGGCACTGCCAGAGTCTCAAGCCAGATTCAGATGAGGATGTTGTATAAGGGATATAACTGCTGATGTCAGATGGATCTTGGATGAAAGCACAGAACACAAGAAAGATGTTTGCCTGTGCTTTTTCTTACTATACAAAGGATTTCGGTTATGTAGGTCATGACGAGTTATGGACAACATTGCAGAGAATGACTATTCCGTAACACTTAATTGTGCTCATGAGGAATCTGTACAGAGGCCAAGAGCCTGTTGTTAGAGCACAAGGAAACACTAAATGATTTAAAATTCAGAAGGGTGTATGCCAGCGTTGTATTCTTTCACCATACTTATTCAATCTGCATGCTGAGCAAATAACTCAAGAGCTGGATTATATGAAGAAGAACATGGCATAAAATTGGAGGAAATCTCATTACCAACCTGTAATATGCAGATGATACAACCTTGCTTGATGAAAGCCAAGAGGATTTAAAATACTTACTTATGAAGATCAAAGACCAGTCTTTGGTGTGGGTTGCACCTCAATGTAAAGAAAACAACAGTCCTCACCACGGGACCAATAAACAACATCAAGATAAATGAAGAAAATATTGAAGTTGTCAAAGACTTCATTTTGCTCAGATCAACCATCAACACTCATGGAAGTTTAGCAGTCAAGAAATCAAACGACATATTGCGTTAGGAAAATCTGCTGCACAAGACGTCTTTAAAATCTTTAGCAGCAAAGATGTCAGTTTGAAGACTAAGGAGGTGCGCCTGACCCAAGCCATGGTATTTTCAATAACCTCCTATGCATGTGAAAATTGGACAATGAAAAAGGAAGACCATAGAAGAATTGATACATTTGCGTTATGGTGTATGAGGAGAATATTAAAAGTACCATGAACTGCCAAAAGAACAAACAAATCTGTGTTGGAAGAAATGCAGCCAGAGTGTTCCTTAGAAGCCAGGATGGCCAGACCTCATCTGATCATGTCTGGAAGGCCAGACTTCATCTGGACATGCTATCAGGAGGGACCAGTCTCTGGAGAAAGACATCATGCTTGGTAAAGTGGAAAGTTGGCAAAAAAGTGAGAGACCCCCCCAAGGAGATGGATTGGTACAGTGGCAGCAGCAATGGGCTCAAGTATAGCAACAATTGTAAGGTTGGCGAAGTGTTTCATTCTATTACACATAGGGTCGCTGTGAGTTAGTGCCCAATCAATGGCACCTAACAACAACAACATTCTATATTTGCATCCCTTTGATATAGGCAATCTATAATTGTAACTGTATATCTTTTCGTGGCTTCATTGAACTATTTTAGTAAATTATAAAATCCAAGGGAATAGGGACAGACATTAGATGAGAACTGAGGATATCTGAGGACCTCTGAGTTTCTAGCTAATATCTCGAGAGGTTGGAAGGGATCCTTAAATTTGTAGACAGCTGGTCAGAAGTCAGGGTGTTGTGTGGAGTCACAAGCATGTAGCTGTTGTCTGAGAGCTAGGGCAGACTTGGAAGTCTGGAGGACTGGCCCCTTTAATTTGTGAGTTCTGATCTAGCTCAGAGGAAGAAGTACTGCATGTGCTGCTGGTGTGTGAACAAAAGTTGAACAGAGGCAATCAGAACTGGTGATACATGGCAATTGATTTTTATGGTTTGGTGCCATTGAAATGGGATTTGACTTTTCCAAACCGGTCACTTTTATGGATAGATGTTCTGTAGCCTCTTCACTTCTAACAAGAGCTAGCAAGCATAGGTGGAGGGACAGGTAGAACCCAAGGTGGGCAGGGAGGGATGGATGAGCAAGTATCAAGGGAGAGTGAAGAAGACTGAAAAACCAACAATAAAGAGAGCTTACCTTACAAGTAGGAAGCCTGAAACCTCAACTGTTGAGGAAAGAACTGTAAACTCTCTTTCCACATCCCACACAGTCATCTGGTTGATTATTCCTCACATCAGCATCTTTACCCACAGCATAATACCAACAGAGAAGAACAAAATGAAGCATAAAAAGTATAATTTGTCTTGTTTCTTCTTGAATACCCTGGTTGTTTACATTTCATTTTGATCATTGTAGGTGAGCTCAGAGAACTAGGGGGTGATATTTTATTTGAGCTTTTCAGAGAAGCTGTTACAGGAATTCCAAAACACTGCTCTCTGAGCTTTTGTGTTGGTCAGTCTTTTGCTTTCTTCCATACACATGATAGCCTATTGGGAGTCCTACTGTATTTTGATTGGGAATAAATTAAGTGATAGAAGTCAAAACCTCTGAAACTGCATGTCAGAGGAATCAAAATGAAGCAACTGTCCTGAAACCTTCTCAAATCTCTAAAATATAATTTATATGCTTTGATGGAGTATGACATGTTGGACAGAAAGATGGAGTATGACATGTTGGACAGAAAGATGGCAGCATATTCTGCTTTAAGAATGTACCCAGCCAAACCTAATGGCTAATAATTTTTGGATAAAATAGTAAATTTAATTTTACTTTGAGGTGATAATCTACTGAAAATATTTAATTGCCTATAGATACAAATTGACTTGACATAATTCAATTAAAATCTAAGAGTAATTTGGGAACATGAATGGGGCAATTGGAATGTAAGATTGCTCCTACGTTGTCATTTTATTTTTCTTATTCTTACTGACTTATGCAGAGGTAATGAAAAAGCACCTTGGTATCAAACTTAATAGGAGGATATTTGAATGAGGACTACATAGTTAACTAAATGAGAAATGAAAGTAAAGAAAAAACTCCATAGGGGATTCATATTCTAATAAAATTTTATGTCACCAAGGTTGACCAAGCCACCTCCTTGCATAACAACTTTATTTAGTATGTGTCTGGGAAACCTAAGAAGCCTATTAAATGGAATCAGTTGGTCATCGTAAGAGGAAGGGTACCTGCCATTTGAGAGGCAGGTGTTGGGTTAGATTGTGGGCATCACTCATCTCCATGCATCTGTGGTTAGACATAGCCATTTATCTAATGCCAGCATTACTACTTGCCATAGAGCAGGGGTGGGGAACCTTTTTTCAGTCAAAATGTATAATATCATTTATGGCCCATACAAACTTATCAACTTAAAAATTAGCCTACTCTATTTGGTCAAATATTGAAGAAGCTCTGGTAGCATAGTGGTTACAAATTGGGCTGCAAACCACAAGGTCAGCAGTTCGAAACTACCAGCTATTCCATGGGAGAAAGATGAGGCTTTCTGCTCCCGTAAAGATTTACAGCCTCGGAAACCCTCTACAGGGTCACTATGAGTTGGTACTGACTCCACAGCACATAACAACAACAACAACAATGTGAGATGAGTCCTGGTGAGGCACTGCAGGTTAATGAGCTGGACCTCAAGGTCAGTTTGAACTGCAAAGTCTGCAGTTCAAGCTCACCAGCCGCTCCTTGGAAACCCTATATAGGGTGGTTATAAATTGGAACCAACTCATCGGCACATAACAACAACAACATTGTGATGGTGGACCACTGGTGTGATGCTGTAGGATCAGCAAGGGTGACGAATCACAAGTTCTGCAGTTCAAACCTATCAGCTGCTCCTTGGAATCCCTATACAGGGTCGCTATGAGTCAGAACTGACTCAATGGCACTTAACAACAATAATGTAATAGCTGTAACTGTGGTTTTGGCAAGGCCAGACCAAGTGATTTCATGGGCCTTATACATACAGCCCACAGACCGGACATTCCCCAGCCCTGTCAAAGAGGATGTCAACCTCTCATCAATCATAGCCTAAAGTTGGACATTTCCTAATTATAACACTTCCCCTGCCTTTTGCTTAGTAGAATAGGTCGTCTTTAATTTAGAAAGTTCTTGAGGGTCTCCTATACTTTGGCCAAAATAGTTTCCTGAAAGGAGCACTGTAGTAGGGTAGGGCAAAAAGTCTTGCCACAAAGTCATAGATACTGTTACTTAAACAAAAATATGACAGTATGAAATTAGTTACTGTTTTTCAGTATATCCAATATCTAGGTCTACACATTTCTGAAGGTGGTGTTC